TGGGGTAAACACAACCGTTTTATTTGCTCATGTGAGATGATCTGCAAATCGGGCGTTACTTTTGATGGCTACTGTACATATACATATGTGCTTGTGATGCATAATGCGTGTGATGATAATTTTCCACTACTGCACTTGCGCGAAATGACCTCCCAGTCGTTATTTCGAGACAATTTCTATAGAGATAGAAAATTAATTTAACCGAATACGAACAATAATTTACGTTTTAAAAATTTTCGTTCTAAATTGATTCTTAGTTCTCTTCGAATTGTTTCTCAATATAACGACTTGGTGCTTATTTCGCGATAATACGGTATGTAAAAAAATATACTTTACGTTTAGTAAATTAACATTCGTAAATTATCATGTGCTTAGGTTACAATTGAAATTCTAATTTACTGAAAATTACGTAAAATAATTGTATTTTATATAACCTTAACTTTAATAAAAAAATTCTTTGCTCCTTGTAAAGTCTCGGCGTTCTCCATTTATTGATTTAATTGAAGCGTTAAAATCAGGTTTAATATTGCAGTTTTTGTTGATACAACAATATGTAATTTAAACCTATTGTTAAAGAGTAGGGTGTCCAGAATTCTGCATTTTGTAGTTCAGGAATTTTGATTTAAGATAATCGACAACAATGAGCTACGCCTCAAATTTTTACAATTATCGACCAATAGAAATGCATTATTTAACTGCGAATTTTGCAAATTCCACAAATTCAGTGAATTCGTCAAATACATAAAATTTTGCAATTACTGAATTCCGGACAGCCTACGTATTAAAGAGCGTGACGAAATTCGTTTTTTTTTTGGAAGATTAACAAGAATTTTAATCGAATGATGAGAATTTTCGGGTCAGGATTAGGGTTAAAGTTTATAATAAAAGAGTATATACGGATTTTAATATGGTTTATCCCCAAATCTTACTTTGCTTCTAACCCTAAAATTACGCCCGAGACTATCAAAAGTTTGATCATCTTTATCGATATATAATATAGCTAACCACGTGAAATTCGAAACTTCAAAGAAAATTGGTTCATTTTAAAAGCTAGAAACTCTAACGTAATGACTTTGCAATAAATACTGACATTTTCAAATCTTCCCTAATGAAATCGGTGGAACACTCGACCCCAAGCGTTTATATGGAATATGGTTTAAATTATAAGTTAATAATGTGTCTATCTCGAATCAAAAATTCTATTGTAAAATTTAGTGTTGTTAATGGGTTGGGTTGTGTTGAACCATTCTTCAACCCACTCCAACTTGGGTTGGGCTCACTCTGGAGCACTCCAGATTTGCTCCAGCATATTTTTAACCCACTCCAACTTGGATTGGGCTCACTCCGGAGCTGCTCCGGAGTATGCCACTCCATTAACAACTCTAGTAAAATTATAATAAAAAAAAGCGTCGTGTAACTAATAAAAATAAATTTGTCATTTTTCATTCAAGAATATTATTATATTGGTTAGACTACCGGATATATTGCAGGTAGCTAGGGTTGTTAATGGAGTGGCATACTCCGGGGTAACTCCGGAGTGAACCAACCCCAAGTTGGAGTGGGTTAAAAATATGCTGGAGTGAAATTGGAGTAAACTGGAGCAGCTCTAAGCAAATTTGGAATGGCTCCGGAGTGAGTCCAAACCAAAATTGGAGTGGGTTGAGGAATAGCTCAACCCAACCCACTCCAACCCAACCCACGAACAAACCTATAGGTAGCAATATAATAATGATTTCTACCGGGTCTATACAGTCATACTTGAGTTTTCCCTATGCTTTAAGACTAAGGACGGGACAAGACATAAATATAAATTATAAAATACATAAAAAAAAAAGGTTTATTCCGATATATAACACAACGGAGATATAAAGTCTAAGCAGATTTTAATTTATCACTGGTACTTGGTATTTTTGCGTAAATATTCCGGCCAGTGTATTAAAATTTGCATGTATGAATATAAATACCAATAAAATAAAGCATATTACAAAACCCCTTCTATATTAGTGCCTTTTTCAAATTTTTCAGCATTTTTCGACCTCTTTTATGTGCTTTAAAACTTCTCTTTACACGACTTTGTAGCCCGAACTGCCTTTGCATAACAAAATTCCAGTGGACCATAAGCCATGACGTGTGATAAGCAAGATTCTCATAATATTCAGATGCAATTTTATGAATTTCGGGAAGTCTTGTCCACGGTACCTAAATACAAAATAAAGAAATTCATTAGTAGCAATATGAAAGAATTAATAAATTTTGAACCTACATTTGTAAAATCGTGGTGTTCATTATGATAACCAATATTCATAAATATTTTATTAAGTCTTCCATAATAGGAATAAGTTTCTTGACCATCATCAAACGTATAATGCTCTTGGATATAACGAGCTGCTACCGGGTGAATGCTAAAACCAAACCATAATGACATAAGTAGATATAAGAATCCTCTATAACCACAATAATGGTATATGATAATATCAGTTAAAAGGGTAAAACAGAAATTTATATGTTCCCATAGCTCTAATTCTTTAAACATTGATATATTACGAATGGGATATATTATAGGATAGAAAAATAGCCATAATAATTTAAATACAGTGCTACAACCGAACTTTTTCTCCCATTCTGAAGGTAAATCTGGGTCTATCTCCTCTACACCTTGAAAAGCGTGATGTTTTAAATGGTGTCGACGAAAAGACATGGATATGGGTACTGGTAATGCTATATTTGCGATAAGACCCACGATACGATTCTGAAATTCTGTTCTCGCCGCGAGGCAATGTGTAGTCTCATGAATAATTATACTATAAATCTGTGTCATAGTCCCTCCGAGTAAAAATGAAACAATAAACATTGTCAAATTCCAACTGATTAGCCAACGACCGAATGTATATGCTGCCGTCATTTGAACTAAGACTCCGGCAATTGCAATGTCTATGGTAATGGTGTCATATCCATATAGTCTTTTAATTTCTGGATATTGATTTAAAATTGTAATTTTCCTCTTCATATGAGGCTCGTCTAGGTTGTCATGGATAAAATCTTCGTCAATGTACGCGACATTCCTTCGCCAGCCGCCAATATAAAGGGGATGCCTATAATCAAAAACGTTATTATATTCGTGATTTGTAGAAGGCATGTGTTTATTTGTAGTTCAGGGTTTTATTAGACGCGAAAGCTATACAAAACACGAAAGAATGAAACGCGAAAGAAGAATACAAGGCAATAATTCAAGGAAAACCGCTAAAAAAAATTCTTTTTTTTTCAATTCAACTTTTGGGTTACTCAATTAGCATCACGTGCTCACAAAATAATAATCATCCCACATCACTTTCTCGAATGAAATTGCTCCGTGAAAATCTGCAGGCAAATTTGAATGGTAAATAGTGGATCGTATGATTATTGTTTTCTTTTTACATTAAAACAAATCCGACAAGAATTGATTGTCGTACAAATGCTAAACCTTTTTTTTCTGACTTTTCTACCAATCATCTTGATAGTAACTCTATTACATAATTGAATTTTTTTTTTATTTGGGGAGGTTAGATTAGAGTCAATATAAGGTCAAGTTAGGTCACTCATTTTGTCCCCTCGACATTTTTTTTATTACTGTTTTCGACACTAAAAAATTTTCTACGTATTACTCTTTGTATTAAGTCATCTTAATAGCAAAAAAAATTTTTTTTTGAACAATATATTTAAAAATTTTTTTTGTTATTGATGGTTTTAAAACCATCAACATTTCAATCACGTGCGCAAAGGAAACGAGTGTTTAACTTCGTGGCACTAATTAAAAACAACGGGGATGAAATTTTACTTAAAGAAACGCATTCTTTTTTCCTCTGAGTGCGAACTCTGCAAAATTTACTTCAATAATCATACCGCCACGAAAATACACTTGTCACGTGATCCGATGCGGCTAAACAAAAAAAATAATAATTTTTACGAAAAAGGGAATCACCGTAAATCGCCATATAGACTAACCGGGTGTGGTGTGCTGCATTCCACCAATTAAAACATATACTATACCTGGGGATACATTACAGGGTAAAGAGGTACAGTACGTACGTAGGATTTCTGTACTTCCGTACTTGGGCAAAGTCTGTGTCGAACTAAGATTGATAATATTTCATCTAACTTCAAATTTTTTGCAACAATATTTTACACTTATACATTGTTTTCGTAAATATACAAGAATTCTTTTAATCTTGCTTCTTTGACAGATACAGTATGTTATGATCTAATTTCAAAGTATTTAGTCAATAGCAAAAAGTAGGTACTATACGTAATGAACCTAATGATTAATTAGTGTTTTTCCTTTCTTACCTGATGAAAATTTTTGTTAAACGTTTTGTAGGTTCATCAGAGTGATATTAATTTTGAATTCTGGTGCGAAAACTTTGTCTTTAAAATTAATCCATAGAACTTTGATTCTTAGGTTGGTTTTAGATAACCTTTTTCGACAAAAATGAATCTGCAATTTTGTTAGAACTAAAATATCATTCGATGCCCTGGGCATAAAAAGCTTGCTCAAAATAAATGAATATTCTAATGATTGTTTTCTTTTTAGCACGAAATACACGAAGAACCATTCACAATTTCACTTATACATTTCAGTCTGAAGCATAAATAATAAGCTGGTTTGTCGATTGGTCATATCTCAGAATCGAATTTCGATCCACGCAACTCAATTTTAGATCTACGCCTCTTATAGCTTGCAAAAGGGTGTGACCCACGATTTTCGTGATAATGTCGTGCTTGAAGTTAGCATCTGCTTGAGGTTAAACCTGCCTAAACTTGCCAACTAATGCATGCAAGAAGATCTAATGTCAGGGGCTAATTTTAACTTCAAGCGCTTGCAACTTCAAGCACGACATTCGGACGGAAATTAACTAATAATTTATTATACATCAGAATTAAATAAATTTAATAAGACGAATCGATTGATATCAAAATCATTCGAATTCGATTACTAGGTCATAAGATATCTTCATTTGAGTCTGCAGAGGGAAAATGTGTAAGTACAAATTTACACTATATCGATATCGAACTTAAAACAGAAAATTTGATAATACTAATTTTCAAATTTTCTGAGTTTAAGTTCGGCATAGTGAAGCTTCAATTCGTACTTATATTATAGGTTTTCCCTTTGCAGCATTCATATGATAATTATTGAAAAAAAAACTATATCTTATTATTTATTGCGGTTTGCAAAATTTGCAGATCAAAAAATTACTCCGGTGTGAAATTTCACATCCAGTTATCAGAAATCGATTGATTTCAGATTTTGCAAACCACAATAATTAATAAGAGATCGGGTATTATAACATAGATATTGTGGCGGTTCGTGATACCTCATGAACTAATGATTGGAATTGGATAGTTTTGATGCCATTCGATTCTTCTCAACGAGAGGAATTGAATGGTACCAAAATTACCCAATTCCAATCGTTGGGTCACAAGATATAACGATTCGTCACCAGTGATGTAAATTGGATCCGCGCAGTAGACGCAGCACACATAGATTTAAATTTGCGCATATATCAGTGCTCTCCGAATATATAAAGCGCGTATAGATTTCTTTTTTATGTGCA